TATTGAACAATGTCATTAATAACTGCTGGCAATCAGCCCATGTCGGGTTATGTGTCTGAACTATCGAGGTGAACAGATCGGTCATAGCTTGTGGTTTCTCAGTGTACGAGGAATTGTGGGTCTTCCAATTCAAGAGATCGGTAGTCGTGAACGGGACATATACGAAGACTGGGTCAGCATGTGCCATTTGACCTGCGGCATCGATATAGGCTGACCCAGGATTCAGACGAAGAGGCATCTGATAATGTTTTAATTGTTGGGTACCGGTCAGTTGTCGGGTTAGTATGGGGCTACGTGGAGGGGCGTCAGTTAAAGGTTCCGGTCGAGAGGTAATAGGGCATGAGGATGTGGGAACTTGATTTTGGGAAAAGTTAGTGAATAGTATACTCCGAGCCGAGCTAGAAGAAGCTTGACCGGAAGTTTGAAGTGGCGCCAAATCAGGATATTCAGATCTAATGGGGGTTGGTCCTGGTTCCGGAAGGGGAGTTTTAATACGAGGGGGGGTGGATTCTGTACTGGAGGAGGAAGCGGAAGTGGATGGGGGCAATAGGGGAAGGGGTGCAGAACTTCCTGCATTCGCGTCACTTCCTCTTAAAGGAAAGTAAGGGGGCGGCAAAGGGATCTCGGACTCAGGGGGCGTGTCCAAAATGGGCCTAACACCAGTCCTAGTGGACAAACAAGTCCTGGCCACCATGAGGCGACATTGCTCCTCGTGGCATATCCGGATCCATTTTGGCGAGTCGTTTACGGCCTGCCTCCAACAATCAATGTATGGAAACTGTCCGTAAAGTTCAGGCCTACCTGATACAGCCACGTGTACACGCTGTACCAGGGTTGGATCCAAACTGCCACGCGGCGGCCATGCCGCAACCAAAGTAGGCCACTCCCTAGTGCACAAAGTGACCAAACGTACAGGAGACATTTTAACCCCAAAATCACATGTTTTGAATCCCTTTTTAAAATTCTTTACCATACAACCTAAGGGATCCGAAATCGTTGACTCTGACGCGCCCATACTTATCAATGGAACGTCGTTGACAACGAATACTATGCACGCGTTCTTATTCAACAGTCACACCCGTTTCCTCTGGCAACAGCACCACGTGGTACAGTTACCAAGTGAAACGTACACAATAACACAATAATCACTCAGGGAATTCCCGTACACACACAGCTGTTACACCAGTCACTAAATAATCAATATTATGCCCTTTGGCGAAACTATACAGTCACCCACGCTATAATTCTCTATATATGAATTACCCGTCTATAACACACCCCAGTAACATCGTCTTTTACTAGTATCGGTTACAGTACGGTTAGCATAGGTCAAAGCACAATTTAAGGTCACAATACAATTATTAGTGGTTACGGTGTTAAACATGCAATAGACGACAATGATTAGTACTTATATACAGTGTCAGTAAATATACAGGGTTATGGTACCGTGCACTATGATACAGCAACACACTATTAACACTCTCGCTAGACGGCTGAGCTCGCGCTATCTAACAAGATATACACTTTACTAACAATCTTTAACACATTTACAATCCCAACTAAACTATTGGCCAGTACCTTGAATGGACTACCTAAAACTATATACACCCGTTTTGGTTAGCCACACTGCCCAAACACCACATATAGCGAACTAGAGGGCGGAATTTACAAAATTGCCCTTCTAGTCTATTTACTCTATCAAAAGTCTAGTGGGTTCCAAATTTACACGCCTTCCCACTTAGCCAAGATAGGTTGAGAGCTAGCGAACCGAATTTACACAGGCGCCGCTTAGTCTCCCGGTCCCTCCGACCTAGCGAACGTAATATACACCCTAGAACGCTAGTCTAGACAAGACACCGGTGTCCGGCTAGGGCTATTTACACAGGACCCCGCCTGACTAACCAGATCAAACGGTCTTACTAAAGAGCGTTCGATCGAGCGGTGCGCCTTCGCTCCTTCCCTCCGACAGAGGGGGCAGATTCCATACACAGATTTAAACCCCTTTTGGGCCTACCGCACAATCGGTATACCCCTAGTGGGTCTGCCGTCTAAAACAGCAGTTGTCTTACCTCCTCGTTCCTGAACCTGAGTTCACACTCATCGACGGGGACACCCCAGCACTTCTTACGTAGAGGCCGATGATCTCCTGGACAACAGACCAGTGGCGCCGAGACGAAGGGAGGTCCACGCAGAAGTTCAGGGGTGCAGCCGTAGAGAACGTGGGCAAAGATAGACCGTCTCACGCCTCTGCCTCTCAGCTACCGTTGAACGATGAGCTTCCCGGCCAATGCACCAAATGATACCGGAGAAACTGACGGAAGCAAAGCACAGAGGGATGGACACAGGTTTCTTCAGGAAGGAAGAGATTCTTTATTGGATCACCGATCGGGACTCAGAGGGACTAATGTCACCAAAAATACAGCAAGTTCTGAGCCCTGAACAATAGTGCAGGCTCCCTATATAGGCACATAACTCCTCCCATATTAAGCTCCACCCGCACATTCTCTTGACCAATCATTACAAATAAGAATTAACTTCCTGCTTGACCGCATGGCTTGTCCAGCACAATGGAGGAGGGGAATACTACATCCTGTATTCTTGCACATGCTCCGTACACTACTGATCGTATCTTGCCTCGTGCAACCAACTGATCGATACGTCAGCATATGCACGTACACATGCCACGTGGTAATCTCGGCCTACTAAATTTATTTTTACCGAGATTCCACCACAGGAGGTCCCCTGTCTCCCCGCGCACAGTGTATTATAACTGCAGCTATAAGGTTATGGTGTAAGGAGGTCCCCGTCTCCCTGCACACAGTGTATTATAACTGCAGCTATAAGGTTATGGTGTAAGGAGGTCCCCTGTCTCCCTGCACACAGTGCATTATAACTGCAGCTATAAGGTTATGGTGTAAGGAGGTCCCCTGTCTCCCTGCACACAGTGCATTATAACTGCAGCTATAAGGTTATGGTGTAAGGAGGTCCCCTGTCTCCCTGCACACAGTGTATTATAACTGCAGCTATGAGGTTATGGTGTAAGGAGGTCCCCTGTCTCCCCGCACACAGTGTATTATAACTGCAGCTATAAGGTTATGGTGTAAGGAGGTCCCCTGTCTCCCCGCACACCGTGTATTATAACTGCAGCTATAAGGTTATGGTGTAAGGAGGTCCCCTGTCTCTCTTTTAAAAACTGCAATAATTACCTTTGCAAGGTTAAGGACATGGGTATATGGACCTAGATCACTGCAATGAGCTGAAGTGGTCTTGGTGCCTATAATGACCCTTTAAAAAATAAAAATAATTTTGTGTGTGTGTGTCTCTCTGTCGGTGAGTGTGTGTAACACTGTCACAGGGAGCAGGTTCTCCTGCTGTTCTTGTCACTCAAGACATTAGGCGTTAAATCCCTTTTGTTTCTGTCTATGCAGTCCTAGTCACACCTCCCCTGGCTATGACTCACACAACATACATGGAAAAAAAAATGGTTTCACTTTTAATTAGATGTTACTTTAAGTTCGTATTGACTGCTCTCTAAAGTGAACTTTAATCATACACAGAATGCTTCTGTGGGGTCGAGCAAGCTATCAACAGTGCAGGGGATAACACATTTTAAATTAAATAGAATTTGCAATGAAGGAAGTAAAAATATTAGCTGACTCTTTACAGGAAGTGTTTAGGAAGGTTGTGCAAGTAACATGCAGGGAGGTGTGACTAGGGTGTATAAATAAAGTCATTTAACTGCGAAATGGCAGAGAATTGAGCAGAGACACTGCAAAGAAATGACAGACTGACCAATACACACACAGCCTGAACCTACCCCCCACATATCTGCATGATGTAGGGGGGGGGCATGGCATCCTCCTCCCCCTCCTAGTGACGCCCCTGTAAAGCGCCAGACACGTATTTGTAACCAGACGAGTTTGACACACAGGAACAGAGGGATAGAGGGAGTGGGGTAAACTGACACAAAGGGTAGGGGTAGAGACGTAGCTTGGTAGGATAGTATTTATTGACGTCTTAGTGTTTTGTTTTGATGACAGGAGAGGTATCAGGGTACGGGGAGGGAAAGCTGTTCACAGTTTAATTGATATGATTTAATGTGTTTTATACCCCACCTCCTATAGACTGTAAGCTCGTTTGAGCAGGGCCCTCTTCAACCTATCGTTTCTGTAGGTTTTCTTGTAATTGTCCTATTTATAGTTATATCCCTTCCTCTCATAATATTGTAAAGCGCTACGGAATATATTGGCGCTATATAAATGGCAATAATAATAATAATAAAAATAAAAATATGCTTTCCTCAGTAAAATTTGAAAGATTTTTTGAAGGAGTGGAGTTTAATAGTTTTGGATACATTTTTTAAATGATGTATAATTTTAGAAAACTTTTGTAATATATATATATATATTGATGTATTTTTTTTATACAGGATACTTTTGTTATTTCAATAATTTACAAAAACAATTCTAATTAAAAGTTTACCAAAGCTATGAAATCAAGGCCTTACACATACGCCCTCCCCATAATGAATGAATTCTATACAATAACCATTACTACATGGGCGGACTCCTGCCGCCATATTCCTACACCCTGACACTCAGTCTCTATGGTTTCCCTGTCTCTGTGCTGGGAGTGAAGCTGGGAAGACCATAGAGACTATCTGCAGTCTGCATGTGCAGGGCTTTGCTATGAGAGCTCTCGGCCACTAGGTGGCGCCGCTCCGCCAGCTCTCACTGTCTCTGTGAGCGCTTCCCATGGCAGAGCCTGGCTGGCAGAGCAGCAGGGAAGGACGGAGCTGGACACGTCATGAACGTAGGTTAAGCAAAGCATGACGGGAGCTGTAGTTTTTTGCTGACTCTATGCCTGTCCCAGTGCTGTGAATCCTTCCCATGTTTGTTCGGCTATCGCCATCTAGCGGCCAGACGGGGCATGACACGCAGTATAATCCGTTACGTGCGCGGCCCTCCTGCCATACGTGCGCGCTCCCGGTACAGGGCAGGATGTCTCGCCGGGCCCTCCGGAGGCTGCGCGGGGACCAGAGAGGACAGGAAGAGCCAGGGGGGCCCCTGGAGGTAGAGGAAGAGCTGAGGAGCCCAGAGCCTCGGAGTCTGAGATTACTGGAGGAGAGAGGTGTCAGTAACCTCTTCCAGCTGGTAATAACCTCCTACAGGGGGGCAATAACCTCATACAGGGGGGCAATAACCTCATACAGGGGGGCAATAACCTCATACAGGGGGGCAATAACCTCATACAGGGGGGCAATAACCTCCTACAGGGGCAATAACCTCCAGGGGCAATAGCCTCCTACAGGGGCACACCTCCTACAGGGGCAATAACCTCCTACAGGGGCAATAACCTCCTACAGGGGGGCAATAACCTCACACAGGGGGGCAATAACCTCACACAGGGGGGCAATAACCCTCACACAGGGGGGCAATACACCAATAACCTCCTACAGGGGGGCAATAACCTCCTACAGGGGGGCAATAACCTCACACAGGGGGGCCAGTAACCGCCTACAGGTGAGTAACATGGTCCACAACAGCTGTGGGGCCATGGCTAGACATTGCTGTATACAGGGGGTAAAAGTGGCTTTATTTACTGGAAGCAGCTGGAAGTTTTCTGTACCTGGAATAAGAGCGATCCATTTTATCATCTATTTAAACCTTTCTTAAAGCATAGTTTGATTGGCGTACACATATACATACACACACACACAGCTGTCCGTGAGTGGTTCACTGGCTTTGCTCCTCTTCCTAAGTTGTGTTTCAAAGCTGTTGTATACAGCAGACACACAAGGCGCTGGAGAAAGTGGGATATCTGTGGGAAAAGCAAGTCTTGTGGCTTGCCTGGTGTGTGTGTGTTTAATATTGCATTAACTATCCACTTCAGGTGGAAGAGGTTTTCGTCCACACTTTTTTGTGTGTGTTTTTTGTCTAATATGTCCCCAGCTAAATGCAGAGTATGAAACCTCACCTTTCCATCTTTCAGATTACAGATCTCGATGGGGACCCTCCAAGTGACCCAGATACTGGGCAGGTTGCTCACTCCAAAGAGAATGCGGAAGAAGAACTAGAAAATGATGGCAAGGCTGCTGGCACACAGGTATGGCTAGTACTGGTATTATTAGTCCAATAGTCAGAGTAGGACAGCTTCTAAAACGATCTCTGTACAGTGTGGTCAGTGCTAAATACTTCCTGATTAAACAGCACTATAAGCACCATAACCACTACGGTTTGTGGTTACCCAGCCAGGATTGTAGTGATATGCTGGATAGGTTAGTACCATGCTCACAGTTTGTAAAATTCACATCAAATCCTGTTCAGGTCACACTTTAGTGAAGTAGCTTGTCCAGAGTCTGGATATGATAAACGGCAGACATAAAGGCACACATGTTCTATGGAAATCCTTTCAGAGTTCCTACGCATGGGTTTTATTATTTTTTATATAATTTGATTGAATATTGTTCAGTGACATCACTGCACGTAGCGCGTCTATTCCTTAACGCCATCACGCAAAGCGTTAGGAAAGGAACCTTGTTGTCGCATTCCTGACTTGTCACCTGCCACGAGTGGGTTAATGTGTTTTTATTTCCTCTGTACATGGTGTGGATATAATTGAGCTCAGCCGGGATAGAGTACACTTATCCCCACTTGCCCCTTCACTATGTTTTGGTTCAATAGTCAGAGGAACCTCCAAGACACCCGATGTTTATTATAGTTTTTGTAGAGGGGTGCAATGCATAAATATCTCATCTCTTCTAGGAGATACCACCCGGCAAAACCAAGAAAAAGAAGAAGAAAAAGAAAGGGAAGAAGCTTGCCAATGCAGACAGTCTGGTAATTAGTATGCTCTGTGATTACACTTTGACATCCTGTCGGTATTCTCCGCTAAGATTGTCTTGTCAATATCTGATATCAGGGTTACAATGTGAACATTAAAGGGACAGTGTAGTCAATATAACAATTTCAACACTTTGAATTGGTTCTAGTGTAGTCCCCAGGCACTGTGCCTGCATTCAGAGCAGTTATCACTTAATACGTGTCCCTGGCCACCCGCAGTCCGGCCCTTTCTAGAGGTGTGGCTAAGGCAGAATTTAAACACTTCCTTGTAGTCATATCCTTCATACTGTTAGTTGGAGCTCTGACACTCTCAGCCAATCACAGCTCCCGTTGCCTCTCGGGCCAATACTTCCTCCTTAGCCAAAGCAGCACAGGGGGGATGGGCTGCTGGGGACTCCTTATTTAACATTAAGATTTAAAAACATTAAAAACTTAATTCTGAATGAAATGATGGCACCAGAGGATCCAGACACTATAAGCAGTTTAATGAGATCAAACCGATACATTGCCTACAGTATCCATTTAACTATTTCTGTATGGAGCATGGACTTTTACATATTCGATCATTCTAATTGGAACAGAGATTACATTTTATAGATGAATGTTGAGATTTGGTGAACTACTGTGGATGGTCTTTTCATATTATAATATATTCTCTTTGACCGTGATAGGAGTCTGACTCTCGTGGGAATGGATAGAGGACTAGAGAATCCAATATTTCATAAAGCAACACTAATATGCACTACCTGAATAGCAAGACTGGTAATTTGCATATTTGGGTAGATTTGCATATTGCTAATTCTTAAAGGACCACTCTAGGCACCCAGACCACTTCAGCTTAATGAATTGGTCTGGGTGCCAGGTCCAGCTAGGGTTAACCCATTTTTTTTTATAAACATAGCAGTTTCATAGAAACTGCTATGTTTATGAATGGGTTAAGCCTTCCCCCTAATCCTCTAGTGGCTGTCTCATTGACAGCCACTAGAGGCGCTTGCGTGCTTCTCACTGTGATTTTCACAGTGAGAGCACGCAAGCGTCCATATGAAAGCATTGAGAATGCTTTCCTATGCGACGGGCTGAATGCGCGCGCAGCTCTTGCCGCGCGTGCGCATTCAGCCCAGGAGGAGGAGAAGAGGAGGATCGGAGGAGGAGAGCTCCCCGCCCAGCGCTGGAAAAAGGTAAGTTTTAACCCCTTTCCCCCTTCCAGAGCCGGGCGGGAGGGTGTCCCTGAGGGTGGGGGCACCCTCAGGGCACTATAGTGCCAGGAAAACGAGTGTTTTCCTGGCACTATAGTGGTCCTTTAATGCATGTGTTAATTATGGTCTTCCCCACCCTTTTATAAATATGTAATTGTTATAATAAGTCACTGTATGTTGCCTGCTATGATTTGACTGTTTGTAATTTTATTGCGTTTTCACAGCAATGTTAATATGACCATATGGGCTAGTCCAAAGTAAAATTAAGTTTTAAATAGTTCTACTTCACCCTCAATTTGGAGTCCTGTCTCTTATTGGGGGAATCTTCTACAAGGGATTGCTATTGCTATGCTCTCCCTTCGCTCTGAAGGAAGAGAGGTTCGGCCTGTGTTGGTTGTGGTGTCGGCTAGAGTGCTTGGAATCCTCAAGAAGTGCTAGGAGCATCCAGCAGCGACTACAGGATGTGATCTATCTTTTCTTGCCAACCGGGAGTGGGAACTAGAACAGGATTATGTTTGCCTATTCCAACATATAACGCCACCTGTCTCTGACATGATGGGGCTTATTGACTGTATACCACCAGAAGCATTGAGTTTAGTTCCTCCTCCCCAGCAACCAAGCCTGTTATCAGGGGACCTTGGTACTGTACCACATATGTCCCAACCAGCCCCAGAGATGGAAGACCTTATTGACTTGTCCCGGGAAGACACCCAGCTGGCAGGTGGAGATGGGACCGAGGTGTCTCTACCGGCCCTACAGGGATGCTGGGCAGTTGGCCCAGATCTCCAGCGGCAGTATGTATCCCAGGGAGCTGAAGGTGCCGTCCTTCCTCCCCAGCGGCAGTGTGTGTCCTTAGGAGAGGAGACAGCTGGTCCCTTTCCCCAGCAGTCCAGTGAGTTACAGGAAGACGAAGGTGCTGTCCTCCCCTCCCCCCCCTCCAGCGGCAGTATGTTTCCCAGGGAGCTGAAGATGCCGTCCTTCCTCCCCAGCGGCAGTGTGTGTCCTTAGGAGAGGAGACAGTTGGTCCCTCTCCCCAGCAGTCCAGTGAGTCCCAGGGAGCTGAAGGTACCGTCCTTCCTCCCCAGCAGCAGTGTGTCCGGCAGGGAGCAGAGACAGCCGGTCTCGCTCCCCAGCAGCGGGACAATATATTGAAAGGGGAGACAGTCGGTCCCCCTCTCCAACAGTAGAGTGTGTCAGGGAGAGGAGCTTGTTATCCCCTCTCCCCGGCAGCTGAAAGTATGTATGGGAATCCTCAAGAAGTGCTAGGAGCATCCATCAACGGAGGTACCCAGTCGGGGTGCCAGGTGATCCGTTACAGGGTGTATTGCTGAAAAAAAAATCCCCAAATGAAATACTTTTTACAATTGAGTAGATATAGCCCCAATATAACATGCATGTATCTACACTGCTCAAAAAAATAAAGGGAACACAAAAATAACACATCCTAGATCTGAATGAATTCAATATTCTTCTGAAATACTTTGTTCTTTACATAGTTGAATGTGCTGACAACAAAATCACACAAAATGTAAAAATGGAAATCAAATTTTTCAACCCATGGAGGTCTGGATTTGGAGTCACACTCAAAATTAAAGTGGAAAAACACACTACAGGCTGATCCAACTTTGATGTAATGTCCTTAAAACAAGTCAAAATGAGGCTCAATAGTGTGTGTGGCCTCCCTACAACGCCTGTGTATGCTCCTGATGAGGTGGCGGATGGTCTCCTGAGGGATCTCCTCCCAGACCTGGACTAAAGCATCTGCCAACTCCTGGACAGTCTGTGGTGCAACGTGACGTTGGTGGATGGAGGGAGACATGATGTCCCAGATGTGCTCAATTGGATTCAGGTCTGGGGAATGGGCGGGCCAGTGCATAGCATCAATGCCTTCGTCTTGCAGAAACTGCTGACACACTCCAGCCACATGAGGTCTAGCATTGTCTTGCATTAGGAGGAACCATGGGCCAACAGCACCAGCATATGGTCTCACAAGGGGTCTGAGGATCTCATCTTGGTACCTAATGGCACTCAGGCTACCTCTGGCGAGCACATAGAGGGCTGTGCGTCCCCCTCAAAGAAATGCCATCCCACACCATTACTGACCCACTGCCAAACCAGTCATGCTGTAGGATGTTGCAGGCAGCAGAACGTTCTCCACGGCGTCTCCAGACTCTGTCACGTCTGTTACATGCGCTCAGTGTGAACCTGCTTTCATCTGTGAAGGGCACAGGGCGCCAGTGGCGAAATTGCCAATCTTGGTGTTCTCTGGCAAATGCCAAACGTCCTGCACGGTGTTGGGCTGTAAGCACAACCCCCTCCTTTGGACGTCGGGCCCTCATACCACCCTTATGGAGTCTGTTTCTGACCGTTTGAGCAGACACATGCACATTTGTGGCCTGCTGGAGGTCATTTTGCAGGGCTCTGGCAGTGCTCCTCCTGTTCCTCCTTGCACAAAGGCGGAGGTAGCGGTCCTGCTGCTGGGTTGTTGGCCTCCTCCACGTCTCCTGATGTACTGGCCTGTCTCTTGGTAGCGCCTCCATGCTCTGGACACTACGCTGACAGACACAGCAAACCTTCTTGCCACAGCTCGCATTGATGTGCCATCCTGGATGAGCTGCACTACCTGAGCCACTTGTGTGGGTTGTAGACTCCGTCTCATGCTACCACTAGAGTGAAAGCACCGCCAGCATTCAAAAGTGATCAAAACATCAGCCAGGAAGCATAGGAACTGAGAAGTGGTCTGTGGTCACCACCTGCAGAACCACTCCTTTATTGGGGGTGTCTTGCTAATTGCCTATAATTTCCACCTGTTGTCTATCCCATTTGCACAACAGCATGTGAAATTGATTGTCACTCAGTGTTGCTTCCTAAGTGGACAGTTTGATTTCACAGAAGTGTGATTGACTTGGAGTTACATTGTGTTGTTTAAGTGTTCCCTTTATTTTTTTGAGCAGTGTATTTGTTTTCTTTCATTGGGGTCTTTCTAAAAACTGCTTGTAAAAGCAGCAGATCTCTTGTCTGTAGCCTTTGCAAGATCTCCCCATCTAACCCCGCCCAGACTTTCTGTGGCTGTCCAATCACGGACATACCAATGCAGCTCAATGAGAGGTATTTGCAAAGCAGGTACTCTGAGCAATCTCCACTGAGTTAAACAATCAGGAAGTAACAGGACCTGTTGCCTGACAGTCACAGAAGGGTAACAAGGTTAATTTATTAAAGTGTCAATGTCTATTGAAATCTGCACGGTTTATAAAATGGGGGGAAACAAGAGGACACACTCTTCACACATAAAGCATTCAGCAAGGTAAAACTGCTTTAAATGTTTGGAGTGTTAATTTACTGTATCATAAAACTGGACAATCAAAAGGGCCTGGGAATCCTACAGGCAAGAAGTAGTCAGTAGACATATTTTGATACAGTGTCTTAGACCGGTCCATAGGGGTAGCCATTATTTATAGGTTTGTGCTGTGGTTATAACTGATCTCAGTAGCCTGGTTTGTGTGTGAATGACCATTCTGTAACATTGCTAGCAGTGATTGCTTTACCTGTGTCCATCCACTCACTGTGCACTGGTTCCTCCTGTCTGCAGCCTGACGCAGGGATTGATGACGCGGATGAGCTTGGCGATATAGACCGCATATTGGACCACATAGAAAATTCCAATGGATTCACCTATCACAACCAGATTAGTGGCATCTCGGACACGCGACCCTTGCTATATGTGGAGCACAGGTATACACACCCACTATACAGAAAAGCATGTTCAGGATTTGCTTGTTTGTTTTTTGATTTTCTTTCTTCAAAGATCCTACAACACATTTACAGAAAAAAATAATCAATGGAAATACTTAGAGCAACCTGGGCAGAAATCAGATAAATGGGTATCCCCCCCCCAAAAACACATTCTGCAACTGGCAATCCTTCTTAATGTCAGTCAGACCATTTTTGTTTTAAATTTATATTGTAGACCGTACCTTTAAAGGACCACTATAGGCACCCAAACCACTTCAGTTTAATGAAGTGGTCTGGGTGCCAGGTCCAGATAGGATTAACCCTTTCTGCTGTAAACCTAGCATTTTCAGAGAAACTGCTATGTTTACCTATGGGTTAATCCAGCCTCTAGTGGCTGTCTCACTGACAGCCGCTAGAGGCGCTTCCGCGCTTCTCACTGTGATTTTCACAGTGAGAAGACACCAGCGTCCATAGGAAAGAGAATGCTTTCTTATGGACTGGCTGAATGCGCGTGGCTCGTGCCACGCATGCGCATTCAGCCGATGACGGGGAAAGGAGGAGGAAAGTCCCCAGCACCAGAAAAAGGTATAGGATTAACCCCTTCCTCACCCTAGAGCATGGCTGGAGGGGGGCCCAGAGGGTGAGGGGGACCCTATAGAGCCAGGAAAACGAGTATGTTTTCCTGGCACTATAGTGGTCCTTTAAAACATATATGCAAAATAATAAATTGATACTCACATGTGAAGGTCCTGCATTTGTTGTAAACTCTGGGCTTTGCTACTTCTGCAGTGAGCTCTGCTCAGACCTGAAAGTAATCCACCAAACATGATGCTCTGTCATGAACAAATGGGGGGGTTTTGTTGGGGTTTTTTGTGCAAAAATTGAATTCTTCAGGATTGGAGGGAGAGGTGTACTGTGCAGCCTATGCACGGGATACGCTTTGGAGAATAGCTTACATTTAGATTGCATCACTTGCTTAGTTTCCTTTTATGAGCAACTGTAAAATTTTGTGAATAGGGAAACTCCAAACGGAACGTTCTCTCTCCTATGAGACATATTACTATAGCCAAGAAGGCACGGACACTTATGATCTTAATGACTAAAGGTTCAAACAATGTAGATGGAATAATATGTGAAATTGTAGTATCAAATAAAATAGGACTTTAGATTGATGGAGCACAGTTAACTATAGTCCGAGATTGGAGTTGGATTGAGGATGTTTTCTGCCTGTCTATACGATTCTAGGGTTCAATCCGTGTAACAATTTATACACCCATGTTTTGTACATGTTACTGAATATTACGGCACTGTTGACCGTTTAAATTGCCATTTCATGGACGATCCCTTGGATCTATATGACTTAGACCTTGGCTTTAAAATTCTAGTCCTGTGTTACTAGTCAGGCCTTTAAGGTTACTTGCCACTTCGTCACACTCATCAGAGGTGAATTTCTACTTGCCAGGGCTATATTTTCACTCATTAAAAACTAGTGTCGACTGGAGATTTTGTGCCCTGACGTAGGCTTCTTGTGGAATAATTAAAGTTAAAAGAAACAAATCTACATTCTATTTTATTCAGATGTTGTAAATCATGACTTTAAAATGACTAGCACACTATTTACTTACTACCTCTCCTCTAATGATTTCTTTCACATGTGGAGGTATTCTTGTGCTAGTGTTATACTTTTGACAGCTCAATGTGTGTTTAATTATCTTGGATGTGCTCCTTCCCATGTACAGAAACCTGAGTGCAGAGACAGAGCTGAAGAAGTACTTTGGTTCCCGTGCGGTTATGGGAGATCAGAGGTGGGTCATTCATTACTGGGAAGATGCTGTAAAAGGAGGATGGAGAAGTATATTAAACACATCTACACTTAAAAACAATCTTAACCAGTTAAGCTAATAAAGAGACATCATAACGTGTCAAGCTTTTTTTTTTTTTTTTTTTTTCATGCATCTTAAATGTTTAATCTTCTAAATCAGTGAAAGTAGAAAGGGAAGCCGATTAATACTCTAATTTTGGGAGAAGATATAAAAGTCCATAGGGTAAATAGTTTTTATATTTCAACAAGAATAATGGGACATATTAGAAACAAATACACAATATAGAAACCCAAAAACCGAACCTCCTTAATAAAATATTGACTGTAAGAAGTGCATTGCGTTTCACAGACAGCGGCAGAGGCAACGTCCACATCAGCGAAGCACCTGGCTGACCTCACCAAAGAACACGTGGCCAAGATACAGTAAGACAGGTGAGTTCTGGAAGAGAATCCTAAATGGGATGAGCAGAACTATGATCAGATTTATGGAATTCATCCATCCAAGAAAACATGAACAGGAACTGCTTCAATATATTTCATGAATCTTTTATGTGGAACCAAACAAAGGCATCGCGCTCCCCCCTTACAAATCTAAAGAGATTTCCATGTATCCACACTAAGGGAAACTGTTAATTCTAGGCTCCAAGATAACAATGAGATCTCTCTGGATCAGTAATCTGTTATTAATAAAGGCTGTGTTAACCCTAAAAAGTCATATATCCTGCTTTGTTTTAATAAAAAATATTCACTGTTTATTAAAGGCATCAGTGTGCCAGATCTCTCTACTTTGTACAGTTCTGTTAGTGAACAGATCACTACTGGTAAATTTGTATACTTTTATAATTTGCCATTTAGATACTTTTTGGTAGTTTAATTATTGATTGTGATCAAGAACCCTCCCATTCTATTTCTGTTCATTTTAATTGTTTATTTTTAATGTTACTCTGCCCACCTCAGGCATTACCATGAGCCTCCTAGAGACCCGGCGGGGAGTCCAGTATTTTACATTTGAACACCAGCGAGATTACCAGCAAGTGCAATTCAAATTCCTGGATGCTGTGGAGTCCATGGATCCCAATAACATTGTGGTTTGTGATAAAACCTATAACTGATTTTGTTCTCCCTGTTTAGATTGCTTGTTTAGCGGAGCTGCTTTTGGACTGTACACAGGTCTGGAGAATATGAAAATTATTCTCCAGGAGTATAGCTTGCCAGTGCAAGTAGTACCATGAAACCACCATCCTGCAAAACTGCTATTTCCTTTTAAAAAATATTGTCCCTGCTCCCTCCCCCTTCTATCCTACTTTTTCCAGTCTAAGTCTCCTTGGCTTGCCCGGCTGCTAACAGTCTCCTTGGCTTGCCCGGCTGCTAACAGTCTCCTTGGCTTGTCTTGCAGCTGCTCCTGCAGATGAACCCATACCATGTAGATTCCTTGCTCCAGCTCAGCGATGTCTGCCGTCAACAGGAAGACCAGGAAATGGCTCGAGATCTAATAGGTAAGTGGTGGGTCATGGCTCCAGCTAATTTTCTGTAGTCTGTTTGCACAGGTTAGATTATGGAGGGCACAACTGCTTATATGGATGTTATTTTCCAACAGAGAGAGCACTGTACAGCCTGGAGTGTGGTTTCCATCCTGTGTTTAGTCTCACCAGTGGGACATGCCGATTGGACTACTGCCGACCAGAGAACAGGTCCGTAACCAAACATCTCTCTGCTAAACTACATCCCTGTTCCTATGGTAGTGAATCTGTAGTGTAAACATTAACTTCTGGTACTAGCCACAGCAGTGTGATGGTTTACCGAAGAACTCCATATTTTTTTTAAACGGCAATTCCCATTATACTCAGCCAGCCTTGCAGGCCGAGTGTCATGAGAAGTGTTTAGAAAAATTGGTGATTTCACATTAGACATGATGCCGCCTCTTTGAATTCCTTCTGTAATTGCTGAAAGCCTTTATGGGAGCGTGCCAGCTGTGTAATATTTTATCAAGCTATCTACCAAGAGCTTCAGCACTCTCTGCCAACCCCAAGATGGTAAAAAACATTGTTACATAGGCTGAATGGTTTGTCTTCTTACGCGTAGTCCACCTGGCTCAACTCCCTGTATCCACTACTAATGCGGGATAGCTGGAATTTTACTGAGCTAAGCCGTGCGAGCTAACTGGGTATGGTGCTTGTAGTGTTCCTTCAAACTAATACAAATTATTTAAAATTCTGCATAATTTAGAATGATGGGAACTGTAGAAACACCCTTGAGGATTACACCCAACCTGTAGCGTTCGACTTGTGCAGCTTTGTAGGTGATGAACATTCTATTATCCAGCATTCTCTCCTTTCTTCACAGAGGCTTTTACCTTGCACTTTTCAAGCACCTTTACTTCTTGGAGAAGAGAGGCTGTCCGCGAACGGCCCTTGAGTTCTGTAAACTCATCCTCAGGTGAGTACTGTGCGCCTTTCTTTCCAAGTTCAGGAATTGTTTTCCCTGTAACTGTCTGTAAATACTGATCGCTTTTGCTAGTCACAGTGATGTTTAATAATAATTCTTCTTTGATGCAGCCTTGATCCAGAAAACGACCCCCTCTGTATGCTGCTGCTTATTGATTTCCTGTCACTGCGAAGCCGCGAGTACAGTTTCCTAATCCGCATGTTTGATGAGTGGGAGGTAAGTTTCGTGCTGGGTGCAGTTCCCCCTGGAGGACAAGCAGATGGCTGAGAACTATTTATACAACGATTGATTATTGAACAAATACACCTTTCTGTACAGACTTCAGTTTCCCATATAACCAGTCCTCTAACACTATGTCTGTGCCTTGCAACACTATAGTTTGCTTTAACTTTTACAAAATCCCACCCCCAGCATGTCCATTAAATGCCTTCTTACCTTCCAGGATTGGTCAAGTAAACGTCTGTGCAATCCTACATCAGAAATTTATGGCCAAGAGAAGAAATGTACAGAACGCCTCATACTATGACCAACTCAAACACTTACACGGGTTATAAAGCCATCGACCAAAAAAAAAATATCTTATTAAACTTGCCTGTGAGCCAGCTCTGAGACAGTGTGCACTCCGATCCTGCACCCGTGAGATCATCATACTTGGTGACTTGTGCCGAGTTATATGTCCGGCCATGGGTCACACAATATATAATCTAATTTCTTTTAATCCAGTGATCCTAGTGGAAGTTATGATGATAGAAGAAAATGGATGAGACAGAGCTGATCAACTTAAGGCAGCAACCCTTAAAGGGGAATCCATCAAGATACCCTTAAGACAAGCTAGTTAAAAGTAACCGTTAAAAAAGGCTGCGCCACATAAAATCCAAATAAGAGTCCAAATTGTGTGTCCTTACGGATAGTCTTTGTGGGAGGCTGGTAAGATGGTAGATTCTTCAAATACAATAGTGGGTCCTCTTATATGAAAGAGAGAAAAGAGGGACAACCAATAGTGCAGTATGTTAGGCTCACATTTAGACGTAGTAAGAGATAATGATGGAAAACTCACATTTGCGAGAGCTTATATCCAGCTCTGAGGTAAAGCGCACACAGTGGTATAATCCCAGCTTATGGGATATATGGTGGGATATCTCTCCGTCAGGGGTAACCAATTCTCGAGGAGAAGAAGAAACAACCAATAGTGCTCACTGTATAGCAATGTTAGTATAAATTAAATAAAAACATACTTACAAATAGAGAGCAGGCAGACTGCTCTATGATGTCAGCGTAAGTGGATTAATCCCCACTTAGGATTTCTTGGGGTACTGGAGTCTTCCAATTAGTTGGTACAACCAAAAATGGTTAAAATTATAAAATTATATAGTAAAATGGAATAAAATAAATATAAATAAAAAGCCAGGGTAAAAATAAAAAAGGTTGTATATAAAAGGGATAATTGGCACAAATAAATAACCAAATTAACTTTTAATACAATAATACACAATTTTAAATATCCACTAACTTTTAATACAATAATACACAATTTTAAATAGCCATTTTGGTTACCCCTGACGGAGAGATATCCCACCATATATCCCATTAGCGGGGATTATACCGCTGTGTGCGCTTTACCTCAGAGCTGGTTATAAGCTCTCGCAAATGTGAGTTCTCCATCATTATCTCTTACTACGTTCAGATGTGAGCCTAACATACTGCACTATTGGTTGTCCCTCTTTTCTCTCTTTCTTATAAGAGCACCCACTATTGTATTTGAAGAATCTACCATCTTACCAGCCTCCCACAAAGACTATCCGTAAGGACACACAATTTGGACTCTTATTTGGATTTTATGTGGCGCAGCCCTTTTTAACTGTTACTTTTACCTAGTGGAAGGTAGTCTGACTGCTACGAAAAGGCATAAAAACTAGATCCTAACATAAAATTACAATTCTTTATATAGATCCGTCATATTCTTCAGCACAGTACAATAAGAAACAAGACAAACATTTAATTCTAATAAAATCTGTATGACATGCTGTAATAGTCGGTGAAGAGAGCCCTGCCCAAATGTACTGATGATAAATACGATGAATGTATAGTGGCTGACGAATTCCCCTGGCCAGCATTATATGTCTGCCAGAAACTGGCACTGAGCTAGACATGTAAGGCACATACACCCCGTCCTCTGCTCTTTAAACCAGTAAACAGATTGATGTGTGGGACTTTAATGATGCATTCTGGGTGTCCATGTTATTGTGTTCCCATTGACCTGTCAATCACTCATACCAAAGACCAGTTCTATACACTGGCTTGTGGTTGCTTGTATTCCTTTGCAGGACTGTAGTTCGTAGATTGTCGACATACCCATTGTGAACTCTAGTCTCCTTGTGTGAAGCGTTATTAGATTCCACTTCTGATTTCCAGACTCATCGGAACTTATCTCAGCTCCCAAACTTTGCATTTTCTGTCCCCCTGGCCTTGTTCCATGTCGGCCAGCTGGACGACCTTTCTGAGGAAGAAAAGCGAACGTCCACCGATCGAGCAAACTCCCTCATTCGGCAAGCTCTGATAATGTTCCCAGGAGGTAAGCATTTTATATTTGCCTTTAAATGAGTAAGGTTAAGGTTTGTCGAAGTTGTGCTAGTCGGACACACTAATGTCTGAATATTTCCTAAACTTTGAATGAGATCCGTCTTTAATCTTTCCAAGGTCAATAAAACAAGTACTTGTTAGTACTTGGAAACTGGTGACAATCTAAATGTATATTTTGGATTAAATACTTTGCTGTTAATGCAAGTACAGACCTGGCACTTCTGTTTTGTTCAGGCTCTCATAGCTTGATATTTGAGATATAAAGTGCCCTGATCTCCCCTTGTTTCTCTCTTTTGGCCAGTTCTCTTGCCGCTTTTAGATTCCTGTGGAGTTCAGCCAGATGCCGATGTCACTAACCATAAGTATTTTGGTGAAATGGTAAAGTCAAGGTAAGACTGGTATTGAAAATGGTCTATATAACATCTTAGAGTCAATACATTGTGTGTGTGTGTGTGTGTGTGTGTGTATGTATATGTATGTGTATATATGTATATGTGTGTGTATATATATATATTTTTTTTTTTTTTTGAGTTTCTCACCAAGCAAGTAAAGTGTATATTTGGCATTCCACCAGTTGGTGATAAGGTTATAGATTATACACGTCTTAACTGAATTCTGTTCAAAGTCATTACTGTTAAATTACATGAAGCTTGGACAGGAACGTTGCTCTCCATATCTATGGTTGGGACACCAACTCTGATATATTAAATATATTGTGTACCAGAGTTGGTGTCCCAACCATAGATATGGAGAGCAACGTTCCTGTCCAATACCATGACATATATATATATTTACTCATTGTATTAACTAGTCACAGACTTCAGGTGGAACGGGTTTTCAATCACAGTTTTTTTTCTCCACCATAACCTATTTGGTTTTTGCTTCCCAAGCACTACCAAGCCAGTAACAAACCTCATTCTGATGATTTGCATTAACAATAAAACGGCTGTCCGTGAGTGGTTCACTGGCTTTGTATCTTTTCCTAGGTTGTGTTTCAATGCTGTTGTATACAGCAAACACAGACTCAAAGGAATCCATGTTTAAAATGGAATGAGGCAAAAATGTGATTCTGTGTTAAACTAATTTGCATATGCTCACCCAGAATCCTTTGCGGTAGTAACATCACAGCAAATTGGAGATTTCTGTTGAAAAAGAAAGTCTTATGGCTTAACTGATGTTACACACAGATATTCACATTGTAATAACTATCCACAGACTTCAGGTGAAAGGGGTTTTCAAACACACTCTCACTTACTCTATATGGGGAACTTTCACTGGTTATTTACTAAACTGTGAGCCATGGTGAGATGTCTGACTAGTAAAATTTGTCCTGAAGGTCTGCGTTGGAAAGCATGTAACCTCCTTTTTGTTTTAAAGGGAAACTATAGTGCCAGGAAAACAAGCTTTTCCTGGCACTATGGATGTCCACCTTTGTCAAGGCCCCTCCCGCAACGCTGAAGGTAACTTACCTGGGTTCAACGCTGATATCCCTTGGCGCTGGCTCAGCTCCAGCCACGCTCCTCCCCCTACCCCTCACCTGGTAGACAGCCACTAGAGGAGGAGTTAACCCTCAGAGGTTTGTAAAAACTGCAATAATTACCACTGCTGGGTTAAGGGTGATGGGAGTTTGCACCAAGACTACGTCAATGAGCTGAGGGGTCTGGGTGCCTACAGTGTCCCTTTAATGATCCTGTTTTTTGAGGCCACCATTGTTTTTGTGTGTGTGTGTGTGTGTGTGTGTATTTATTATGTTGTGGTGTGTGTGTGTGTATATATATAATGTTGTGGTGTGTGTGTGTGTGTATATATATTATGTTATAGGATCAGTTGCAGGAGCTGTCAGCCACTTTTGATGAGTTTGTGACTTTCTGGCTGTAAGTTCACCTTATATTGCACTGTGAGAGTTTATTGTACTTGACCAGTTTCCACAAATGCTGACCTCCATTTCCTTTGTGTAAAATCTGTAAACACAAAGCAAGAATAAAGCCATTGCTTAGTATGTTATTTTTTGCAATTGTGTCTTCTTAAAGGAAGTAAAACCAAGAACAAATTAAAAACAAAACCGCGTAAGGCCGTTTATTTTGATATGAAGTTGGTTGATAGGCATTATCTGTTCTTAAAATCTGGCTTTCCGTTTGGGGATTCTGTTGTTTAGTATATCCGAGCCCAACAGTTCCTCTAGCCATTGCAAGTGAAAGGTGTAAATCTGGTGAAAGTAGAGTTTCTGTGTCATGCTCCCTCCAGTCTTGCAGAGGTCCTGCCTAATAGCGTACGGCTTGAAATTTTAAAGGTACACTAAAGTCACCAGAACAACTACAGCTTTATGTACGAGGAGATGCTGATTGGCCAGAGTGGCATTTGGCTCCGCCCCCTGCAACACATCCTTGGCTGAGATTATCACAATTGACTAGCTCAGCCAATCCAATGTTTCCTATGGGTAACATTATCAATGCTATTTCTTGCGGATCGGGGACGGGCCAGATGTGAGGAGCCCAACGTGGAAAAAAGGTGAGTAAATCACCTTTCTACCAGGAGTTAAAGAGGGAAGGGGCTGGTTACTATAGTGTCAGGAATACACGTTTGTTTTCCTGACACTAGTGCCCTTTTAAGCCCTTCATATAATTTGTTTTCACTGTATCAAAATAAAATGCTCCAATCGGTTTATATGAGACTAAAGTAAATCAAAAAGACTAATTGATCCTCCGTCAATATTAACAGTAAAGACACATTTCTTTCTCTGTACAGCAACATCAGGATTTTCTATCCTGGTGAATGAATGATCCACACGCAAGTGATGTGTAGGGCTCACCTCCTTTTTCTTTGTAATTCCTCTACATACAGGCAGACGGCTGCCCTGACCCAGCTTATTTCTTTATACATCGAACGAAGTCATAGTCTTTGGAAGGAAGCTGCTGTAATTTCCTGGCTGGAGACAAACGTGCACGAGGTCCTCCATCTTCTGAACAGCGACAACCCCTTCATACAGGAGTGTGAACAAAGGTGAAAATTCAGCACTATGTAGTGTCATGAAAGTAACTCCCTGGTGAATTTGCACTGTGTACTACATGATTGTATGTAGTGTAAAATACATATGATTTTGCAGATCACATGATTATCTATGTAAGCAATAAGATTAGGCCTTCCATGTTGCACATATAGTGTGTGACTTGAGAGATTTATAGCACATGTGATACATTGCATGTTGCATCCTAACTGTTCTGAAACTTGGTGCTGTTACTAAGGATAATTTCCTCATAGAACAACTATTAAAGAGACACTCTAAACATCATACCAACTTTATCTTAATGAAGCAGTGGTGTATAGAGCATGCTCTGCAGTCTCACTGCTCAATTCTCTGCCATTTAGTTGTTAAATAATTTTGTTTCTGTTTATGCAGCCCTAGCCACACACCCCTGCATGTGACGGACACAGCCTGCATGGAAAAAAATGGTTTAATGTTCTTGATAGTTTTTATAGGTTATGAAAAGAAGAGAACACAGTAAGACTCACAGGTCTTAATACTCAAAAAGTACAGGTGGTCTCGCAGGAGCCCTAATGTAACAGATAAAGTTACAATCTAAGCCCTGCATGACTTGCAGGTCACGATGACCAGTCATCCAAGTAGTTCTACCCCTGACTTTATTTGCCATTCAGTTCCATACGTGCGATTAATGGTTATATTAACAATTAACTTGTGCATTTTGTAGGCAGTTGCTTACAAATCTCAGGTCCTTTAATCGAGGTATGAGTGGGGCACACCATATCCAAGGGATTAGCAACTTACAGGTTGTAAGAACACCCATTGCAAGGCTCGCAAGTCCCTGATATAACATCTGGGTTCCTAGGCTAATCCTCCCACTCTGAAAGCTGGCTACTAAATTCTGAGTTATTCTGAACTGTGTAGAACAACAGATTTAAATCTGAGTACCTAATGTGGTAATTATATAACCACACAATCTAAATCAGGAAGGATTGAGGAATCTAAATGGGAAGACTCATGAGCCCGCGAGCTAGTTAAACCCTTAATTAAAAGCAATAAAGGAGGTGTACACATTAGATCTCTCTTTACAGGAAGTGTGTAAGGAGACTGTGTGATTCATAGCCAGGGGAGATGTGATGAGGGCTGTATAAAGAGGGGTTTTCGTCCTAAATGGCTTTGAATTGAGTAGTGAGACTGGATGGGAAATTCTCTATTAACCAAAAGCACTCGATTTTAGCTAAACTTGTTTGTGAGCTTATAGTGTTCCTTTAAATTTTGTCTTTTTTGAGTTCTTTGCCCTTGGAGAAATACATGTAAACATTAACTTCCCACAGCAGAATTCCTGTGACATAAAAGCTTTACTACTGAACAGAAATAGAAGACCCAAGCTAATGCCGCCCGGGGCAGTGGGATCTTGTGAGACTCTCTTCTATTTTGTCTCTTTGCGTTTTTTCTCTTGTTTGTTTTTTTTCCATTGCCAGGAGGAAGGTGCGGTATCAGAGTGCACCCAGAAATATACTTCGTCATATCATCCTGTCTGAGATCAAGGGGGTTAGCATAGCAATGCATCTGGTGAGTAATCCACTGGCTGCTGGAAACTCATACTTCGTTACATTATCACAGAACGCAGCACAAAAATTTACAGGATAGCTTTTAAATGTTAGAACATAGTCTGAGAAATGTGTGCGTAGCCATGCATCAAGCCACACCCTCTAAAAGTCTCTCTTTTTGGACATTTGACGGGTAGGACTGCAGGGATGAGAGGTCTGCTGGAAATGTAATCCTTTAGGACCCATGTCACAATCCTGACCATGTATCAGTGACACTTCTTAAACGATGCTATAGCAGACCTGAACAACTTGGCAGTAGGTAGGGGCCAAAATGAAATAGACTAAAGTTCTTCAGGCCGCAGATAAGTTTAGCTCCTCACTTTCCAAGAAGTGGTATAAAATTACATATAAAATTACAGGTCTACACAGACAAAGGCAGACACACAGATGCACACAATGACAGGAGCACACACACATACACAGACACTGACAGATACACAGGCACATGCTGGTCAAAATATACTTTTATAGCCACCTTCCAGTTTCCTATCTTTTGGGTGCTGGAGAGTGGCTTTCCTTGTGTCCAGGCTGAGGATGTTGGAAATTAGGGGCTGACTCTTGCAGCCTCCACCCCATCCGCTCCGCCTTCTTCTCTCTGCTCCCTCCGTGTAACTCTAGTCTCTCCTGGCCCCCTCCTCAGAGGATCCTCCCGCGTGTGATAGAATACAGTCTCTCAGAGGAAGTGACACGTGGCACTTACCTCCTCCCATGCTGCCGGGAAACAGCCCCTGACCGCACCCCTGCTCACACGTGCCAACCGAAAGGCCATAAGTGCGTGGGCCACCCAATGGGCCTCCAACGTGTGCAGTTGCACTGGCGGTTGTTCGTCGCAGGCCACCTGAAATCCTTTGGGGGGTTGCATGTTGTGCATGTCTGCACTATAGTATTAGGTATACAATCCTCAGCCCCTAGCTCTACACATAAAATCATTTACTTGACGTTTTCCATCTCCGAGGCTCCCATGATTCAGCTTACCTCTCCACCATCTGCATTATCATGGAGTAGATGGCATCCTTCGCAATGGTCCAATTCAGTGCAACTCGAAGAGTAGAATTGGGGTCCTAGTGTGCATGCATGGCATATGCTTCACGCACATTCAAGCTTCCCCTTTGGAAAGCATTGAATAAGTGCTTCCCAATGGGGGCTTCCACATCACGCTATCAACTTTTACTTTGTCAGTGCAGAAGATGCCCCTCTAGTGGCCATCAGGAAGAGACAGCCACTAGAGGTGGATTTAACCCTTCAATGTAAACATTATGGTTTCTAAAAAAAACTGCAGTGTTTTACATTTCAGAGTAAAGACAGGGACACTGCACCCAGACATGTCACTGAAATACTTTCATCATTGACCTGAGGTGGTCTGGGTGACTATAGTGTTCCTGTAAGTCTGGTTCTGAGGGATATAGTGTTCGTTAATGTGCCTGTGTGTACCCATGGCTTGGCTTAAAGGACCACTATAGGCACCCAGACGACTTCAGCTTAATGAGGTGGTATGGGTGCCAGGTCCTTCTAGGGTTAACCTTTTTTTTTTTTTTTTTTATAAACATGGCAGTTTAAGAGAAACTCATTGACAGCCGCTAGAGGCGCTTCCGCGCTTCTCACTGTGATTTTTACAGTGAAAAGACGCCAGCATCCATAGGAAAGCATTGTGAATGCTTTCCTATGGACTGGCTGAATGCGCGCAGAGCTCCTGCCGCGCATGCGCATTCAGCCGAAGAGGAGGAGGAGAGCAGCTCCCCGCCTGGCGCTGGAGAAAGAGGTAAGTTTAACCCCTTCCTCTCCATCCAGCCCGGTGGCAGGGGGACCCTGAGGGTGGGGGCACCCTCAGGGCACTATAGTGCCAGGAAAACAAGTGTTTTCCTGGCACTATAGTGGTCCTTTAAGTGCCTCCAATTTCACAGGACCTCTGGCACTTCATAATGTTTGAAAAGAACTTCAACTGATAGCTCTGTTTACTCTATAGGAAAAAAGGGATATTCAGATACAATACAAACTATTGATGTGTGCTATATAAAGTCCAGTCTATTAAATGTTATTTAACTACAGGAACTGTAATGGGGGCTTTTCTGCTGTTTAGTGCCTCGAGGCAAGTAAGACAGACATGTTTTGTTCTCTCTCCAGGAAGTGTCCACGCAGCCTGTGCTAGGATTTGATCCTCTTCCTCCTGTTGATTCCATTGTGTCCTACTCCAGGCCGGAAAGGTAATCAATCTACCTAAACTACATGTGAGAAATTCCAATTCATGCATTCACTGACTGAGAGGGGTCACTCTGCTAAAGATGGATTATAAGTGTCACTTCCTAGAAGTTCTCTGCTTAGCGTGAATAGCTAATAACAAACGACTGATACAGGTAGCATCTCAGAAATAAAGGAAAGGAACACAGCCTAGCATATATACAGACTTGGCACTGTAATAAACGTTCCTATGCTAGGAAAAAAAAAGTTCTGTGTCCCAGTGAAGGACTAGCAATGTCCCATAAGATGCCAGTATCTTGGTCCATCAGTGTCCCTGTAACATTCTCCATATGGATGAGTTTTGTAGATTACACCATGCCACATTTTATAATCTAGGTAGCACATGATGCATGGGTATTTGCGTCTCCGGGTGATCTTCCTGTCCAGGGTGGCAGCTGATTTAGTCACTTGCTGCTCCGGGCAGAAGTGCCAGGAACAAGTCACCTGGATAACCTTTTTCAGAAGGCTGCAGACAGCTGATCCTGTTAGCCTGGTTTGGTGACCAGTCACAGGCAGTGTTTACCATTCTGGACTATGTCATACTCGCACTTTTAGAAATTAGGCAATTTGGGATATTCCAGCCTTCTGCAGATGTCCAGCTTGTCTAAACTATTGGGACTGGGAAAACTGCTACAGGGAAATGGGGTAATATCCAATCCACCAATCACCAATCAGAGAGATGGACTGACAGACCTATATGGTAGAGAAAGCCAGATGGCAAATCTGCTGGTACTTTGAGTGCTCATTGAAATGAGGTGTGGTTTATTTTCTGAATTCATTTAATTTGTAAATTCTTCTTTTCAGGACTAACCGAGCGCCTAATGAAGGAACCTTATCACTTTTCTTCCGATCTCTTTTGCCAAACTTCAATCTGCAGGTTGTACGTCATGTTTTC